AGAACAAATAATATAAGTGAAGGTTTCAATAATAAATTTAAAACTTTGGTAAGAATTCAGCATCCAAATATTTGGATGTTCATTGAAGCACTACAAAAGTCAAATTCAATGGCAATTAATWAATTATTAAAAATTAAAACAGGTACGGTTTTTTACAAAATAAAATAAATATGAAAGACGATTACACAATATGTGCTTAGATATAAAAAAAAGAATCAGAAATTAAATGTTTTTTACAAAATATATCATTTTTATATCGAAATTTTTAGACTATTATACTTATATAATTTTTTTACGTTTTATTATATAATTTTTAATATGTTAATGAAAAAAAAAAATCTAATTTATAGTATAAATTTATAAAGTTAATTATAGTATAATTGATTATATTTATTCAAAAAAAAATAATTTTTTAATTAAATAATTAATAATATTATGTTATTCAATAATAAACTTAAAAAAAAAAATGGGGGGGAAATGTCCGCATCGAAAATATATTGGGGGGAAAATGTCCTACTACACCAAAAACAGTCGGGGGGGGGAATTGTCCGCCATTCATTTAAAAGTACTCACATTTGCAAATGTAATGTCATCAAAAGTTTTTTCAAGAACGTTGATGCAATGTAAAACTAATTCACATTTTAAGTTTGCCATAGAACAACCAGTTCTCATCAGGCACCACAATACATCACACATCATGATGTAGTGTTCAATGGAATCTTGTATAAATGTTATACGGCCATTAATAGTTTGTAATTCTGAAAGTTTTTGAGTTGCATCTGCGACCACTGTTTCCGATATATGAGATTGTACATTGTCATAGTCAGTAGATTCCGACTGTTGATTAAAGTCTATGAGTACTCCTCGATCTTTTATGTGCTTGTCAAAGTAACTTAAACAATATTTTATTATTAACATTTTAATTTCACAAAAGTTTATGTAACTATCTCTAATTTTAACATGAAGAGATAATATTTTTTTTTACTACCAATAGTTTTTAGTTTTTACATTATTAATAATTACTTTATTATATGTTGATTGTTTGAATGTAGATTCTCTTTATCCTCATTAATATAATTTTTAATATTGGATATATTGTTCATTGCTAAACTCAATTTTGATATCTCAAATTTTTCATTCATTCCAGCAATCCGTAAAGCTGTACAACTAAACATAATATATTATTTGTTTAATTATATAACCTAGTATTACATATTATTTAAATAAATAAAAGCTAACCTTTGTGAGAGTTGACTTAGAGCATGAATTTTTGTAGAAAATGTATCACTTATTGCTGATGAAATGTTTTGCTGCAAGTTATAAAGTTAATTATAAAAAATAAAATAGTGATAACAATATAAACAATTTTACTCTACCTCTTTAAACCATATGTCTATCATTTTAAAAATCTGTTGACGCCATAAGTCTGTCAAATTAATTAAGTTATTTGATGCCAGTTTTGTTAAGCATTCATGATCCTAAATATTTAAATTTAAACTTCATTATTTTATCACAAATCAGAAGTATATAATATATATTAACTATCATAATTATATTAAACAACATTTACATTTGTCATACTGTTAGTGACATGAAAATGAAGTTTATTAACATTAGTAGCAAATGTATCAATTTCTTCTGTAAACTTCTTCATAACTGCATCCAAATTATTTTCAGTTTTAAAACAAGATGAGCTGACCATATTTTCTTTTTGTTTGAGCAAAGAAATTTCATCATCCATCAATTGTATTTTTTTTCTATAAATTAAAATGTTTTATTAAAAAATTCTTGAAACTAAATTAGATTTAATACTAATTGTTACAATGCATTAAAATACAATAGGACCATGATGTCTTAGTTTTGATAATGCACTTGAAACATCATACCAACCTTACTCAAAACCATAAATGTTTAAGTATATTATTCTGCAGTATTAAATTGCAACTTTTGTATGTCAATTAGCGTTAAATCCACTAAAATTATACTACTAGATGGAGCATCCTGACATGGCCCAGGTTTAAGTATATAAACAGATATAATACCAATAACATTAAATTAAAACATTTTAGTGCACATGTACTGTGTATGTTGGATATCAAGAGTAGCAATTTTAAAGGCTCAATAAGAAAATATCAAGGGGTAACCAGGCACACTCTATACGCCTATGCACACACCTAGGACAACTGCCCTCATTTTCCTCTCACCCCCATGGAAGTTCTTGATCATTAATATTCAGGAGTGGACTAAGACATTTTGCGCCTAGGTACTATATTTGCAACTTCCTACTATTTACCACCCTAAACCCCTAAATTTTGATATTATCTCCAATATCTATATCTCATATAAAAATTCACATACACACTATTCTGAGTCATGGGAATAATGATTAAATAGTAAAATAACAAGCATCACCATTGGTTATAGAATAAAACTCATAATAAGCTATAATTAAGTAAAATAAATAAAGTTCAAGCAGTATAAGACTGGGCACTCAAGGGCCCAGGCAGGACTTTTGTTAAGAGGCCCAATCAACCTTATTTAGTAATTAAATCAAATGCATGCAATTTAAAATTATAATTTAATCTAATATTATTATATTTATTAACTATATACCTAACTTTATAAAGCTAGAACATAATTTTATAATTAATTTAAAGTTTATTGAACTCTTTCTTTAATTTGAAATGTTA